ATGCTAAGGTGGGTAATGGGTCATGATTGACTTATTCTGTTCTTTTGTGCCTCAGGTAACTTGCCTGGAAGAGAGGGTGACACCAGGATGGGAGGGCTAGCAAGCTTGTGACAAAGCTGAGGCCAGGTTCTCACCTATTTGCTGCATTTTGAACTGCTACTCATTTTTTCGTAGTAGCCTGACAGCAGAGCTTTACAAAAAGACAGACATTGGATATGCCCTGTGTTCTTGCTTGAACAGAGCCAAAGGACTTATAATGACAAATTGAATTTTACTGAATCAATGGACAAGAAAAAGTTTCCTGGCACAATGTCCAGGCAAATGGATGCATCATCCAAGAGGCGCCCCTGTGGTGGAAGTGGGCTGAACTTCCCTCAACCTCCCCCACCATCCTCCTCCATCCAGCAGGGCCGTATTCGGGCTGTGGAGGTGGCGAGAGGAAGGACAGGGTATGGCTTTACACTCTCAGGTCAAAGTCCTTGTGTCCTCAGCTGCATCCTGAAAGGGAGCCCTGCTGACTATGTAGGGTTGCGCTCAGGAGACTACATCCTGTCTGTCAATGACATCAATGTCTCCAAAGCATCGCATGAAGATGTGGTCAAACTGATCGGACGCTGCTCTGGTGTCTTGAAACTAGTTATTGCCGAAGGAGAACGTCCCAGGCGGCACCACCACCAACGCAGTGTCGGCAGCCGTCACCACAGCAGCAACACAATGGCAGCATCATACCTGGACTCATGCTCTAGTGATGACGAGTTGGATGGTTTCTATGATAGCAGTGTTAACAACAACAATAACAGCAGGTCAGGCTGTGGAGCCCGTGGAGGTTGGTACAAATCCAAAATGGATTCTAAGCAGCTTGGCATCAACCGAGCAGAGAAGGTGGTGGCAGAGCTGCAATCTGGAGGAATTTTTAACATGATCTTTGAGAACTCCAGCCACTCCTCTAGCAGCTCAGACAAGGACAGGCCCGGGGTTAGCGCATCGTCAAAGCCACGTCCACTGTCTGATCCAGAGTTTCCTCCATATCGGAACCCGTCTCGTTCCCAGAGCAACCCCAACCTTCTCTCTGAGGAGGAGATGGCCCAAGTTCTAAATGATGATTCAGTTTTCCTGGAGTCAGACTTTCGCCATCTCCACCTTCACCACCATGAAGAGCAAGACGTGGACGTTGGAGATGGGGGCGACTTGGTCCTAGAGCCCAGTGAGGGTATCCTCAATGTGGGCATGATTGTTGGCTATCTGGGCTCCATTGAGCTCGCCTCCACAGGGACCAACCTAGAGAATGACAGTCTGCAAGCCATCAGAGGGAGCATGAGGCGCCTCAGGGCTGAGCAAAAGATCCATTCATTGGTCCTTATGAAGGTGCGAATGAAAATTCTGTTTCCCATCTGAAGATAATGGCTTTTTAAAATATCCTGCTAACTATGTTTTTATTTCAGTAACGAACAACAGCAGCTAAGTCTGAACTGCAATTATCTAGTGAGCCTAAAACATTACAAAAGAGACCCTACAGTATAAACGGTGTGTCAACGTGGAAACCCTCTGTTTTAATGTTATTGTTAGCTGTCGCAGCTAACTGACTGTGATTGCCTCTTTATTTTCACTGGTGTCAAGTGGTGACATGCATTATTTATATCCTATCAGGTCATGCATGACAGTGTGCGTCTGTGCAGTGACAGAGGTCAGATCCTGGCCACCTACCCAGCAGAAAAATTAGCTTTCAGTGCCTGTTGTCCTGACGACCGACGATTCTTCGGACTGGTCACGATGCAAGCCACAGACGACCACGATGATCGTCATTTCAGCAATGGTCAAGATGAAGAGGGGGGTTTGAGAACTTCCTGTCATGTTTTCATTGTGGACCCAGATCTCTGTCACCACCAGGTAAAACAGAAAGGCAATTATGAGATATAAAATAAAGGTTTATGAATCACAATTTAAATTAGATAAATTTCTTCCTTTTAGCCACATCAAAAGCAAATCAGGAAACCTTAAGCTCCTCTTAAAGATGAGAAAACCACACAACTGAAGAAAATAAGTATTTCATGCACTTTCAGGCAGAGTCACAATATATATATAACTGGAGCTTTGATCTGTTCACAATGAAGAATTAGGGGGAAAAAAGGGCACTGGAAATTGTTAGAATTTTTTTTAACATCACAGCCAGTACAAAGTGTGACTTTCGGTGCTTATATCAAAGCAAAAATAAGCTTTTAAAAAAATATGTACTTATGAAGAAATATAAAACAACTTTTCTTCTATATAACAAACTAAACAACAATTCTGTTCTGGTAATGACTAGTCATTTACATAAAGAATAAAATTGAATCTAAAATACTAAAATTGTGTCAATCTAAGAATAAGTAAAGTTTGATATTCAGCCTTATTGCAAATATCAGATTGTTTTAGAAAACTAATGCCAGTGATGGTAGCTTGTCAGAAACCTATCTAACAGCTACTTTGCTCTCTGTTTTTTCCTCAGGTCCATCTGGGGGTGGCCATGAGGTTTGGCTTTGAGTGCACCCCTGACCCGGACACCGGAGGCTGCCTGGAATTCCCTCCCAGTTCCCAACCCCTCCTCCAGTTTGTTTCTGTCCTCTACCGGGACATGGGGGACAACATTGAGGGGGTTCGGGCCCGCGCTTTCCACGATCCAGACAACGACGCCCAGCAGAACCACAGCACCAGCAGCAACAGTGATAGTGGCATTGGCAACTTTTTACCAGAGGAGAAGAGCAACAGAGTACTTTTAGTTGACCTTGGAGGTCCTCCCAATCACAACCACATCTCTGGGCCACGCCACTGGGACAGCCCTCCTTCCTCCCAACAGGCCTGGAGCCCCACCCTCGGAGCTGCAGCCTCTCATCCACCTCCTCCTCCTCCTCCTCCAATGCTGAGAAATGGCCACTACCGTCACGACCCACACCTGGCTGACCTCCCTCACCCTCTCCCCTTAGCTCACCCTGATGTCCCTGGCAGGCATTCACGAGGGGTCCACCCACACCACTACTCATCAGGGAAGCGGGGAGGAGCTGTTGGGGGAGGAGAAAGGAGAGGGGCCGGAGGAGCAGTAGGGGTGGAACAGCAGCGGTGGCTGCCAGTCCATGTGCTTAGAGACTGGCGTCAGCAGCACCACCACAGCCACCTCCAGGGCCTAAGCAGCGATCAGGAGTCCTACGCCGAATCCACTGACGGATGGTCATCAGCCAACTGCAGCACCCTGCCCCCACCCATGAATAAGATCCCGGCCGACCGCTACCGGGCCCCGCTGGCCCCCGGAGACCACCTGCCGCCACCTGGAGGGAGCCAGCCTCCTCCTCCCTCGCATCCCCACACCCACAGACTGACTGTTCAGAAAGATGAGTGGGCTAAGAAGTTATTCGGTACAGGAGACAGGGAGCGGACAGGAGCAGAGAGAGGCGAAAGAGAAAAGAAACGAGGAGGCAACGCCAAGGAGGGAGAGAAAAAGGTATTGAAGTATTTTATATGAAGTATGAAGTATTTTATTTAGTAAAACTCTGGTTCAATCAATTTTCATGCTGGAACTTTTTCATTTTTATTTACATTTTTAGCCAATCTACCTTTGTAATAATGGTACATTCACTGGTGTACTAAACTGTGCCAGTTTGTGGGCTGTAGGAGAGTTGTGCTAAAACTAACCATGAGATGAGAAGCCCAGACAGCAGGTAGCATCCCCCATCACACATCCCTGTTGTGGAAATTTACTCTGACTAGACTGTGTCCAAGACTACAGTTTATTGAGGCTATAAATCCATCTGTGCTCATCCCGCTGCTCTCCATTGCATTCTCACCCTCTCCTTTCCAAGGCCTCAGGTTTAACTCCTTCAACCCTGGAAGAATGTTTCTTTTCACTTGAACTTTTCACTTGTTTTGAAAATATACCATGAAACATGCACATCCCATCAAACACATCTCTACTAAACTGAATAATGTGAGCACCCCAGTTGGCTCTCTCCCCTGACTTACTACAAGTGGATTGATAAGTTATTTATCCTCACTACTCCAGTATCAGATCATGTATTATGCACCAGCCAGACATCTGCCTTCATCTGAAAACCACCTGTTTCCCACCCTAATGAGACTCAGTGTAACCGTAGCGAAGTAATTGTATATGATACTATCTTTGTTTGATATAATTTAAAGAACTAAACTGGCTGCATTTTTAAATTTTTTTTTTGTACAAGAGCTCCTTTTCTTTTAATTTACATATAGTACAGTATACTGGCTGTTTATTGACTGTAGAGAATAGAAATGAGGAGATACAGACCAAGCATGACAGGTGTTTCCAGGCTGACTGGATTTCATCATCATTAACAGGTCTGTGTGTTGAAGTGCTCGTAAAGAATGTAGTAGAAACTATGTTGGAGACAGTGTCATTGACTCTGTCTATATTTACATACTAGCAAGCAGCAGTGGACAGTTTCCTTGATACTGAAGGAGGCTGGTGCTTCTCCCAGTAAAGCTCTTGGTGGACAGTGTCTCACAGACCCTGGGGGACAATCAGAGGAAATGTTTACAAGGTCAGGTGCAGGGCAGAGACTGACAGTGACAGGAAGGTGGATGTTAACCTCTTTGAACCATGTCTGGAGACACCGGGCTGTGGAGGCTATCATGGTAAGCCATGATTGTTGGTAGTCAAGATAAAATCCAGATATATTGTTGTATTCATGATTTGTTTTTTTCCTCTGTGTGCTTAAAACGTTAGAATTCTAAACACATGATTGCTGGGTTGTTATAATGTGAAGCACATCCAGACATTGTCCTTAATTGAGTGTTAATGTTCAACACATGGTGGCACTGTTTCACTGCCTAAACCTCTGTAAGCCTCCTTCCCTAATAATGACTGTCCTTGGCAAACATTTCAGAATATTGTTTGGAAAAAAATAAATCATCAGTTTTGAATAATGAAATCAGTTTGTGATAAATATACCAGATACAAACAAGCAGTTGAATCTTGATAAATAAGAGACAGTGATCATTGCAATGGGGCAGCAAATACCCACTGTTTAGCAATGTGATCCATGACTTCTCCTTGTGGGCAAAGCATTGTCAGCTTGACCACCATCACTATGTGAGTGTGTATGTGAACGGATGACGGAGGATTTATAAAAGTGCAGTTTTTTTGTCATTTACAGTAATTGTTCATCTGAGAAAATATATTTATAATATGTTGTCTTTGCCTGTATTTTAGCATGTTTTGGGTAGTCATTCGGGGCTTATTATACTAGTTTATACTATTATTGTTATAACAAGAACCAAGTGTTTTGTATGAGTTTTTGTGTTGACAGCTTTGAGGTCGTAAACAGGAAGAATGTTTTTTTGTCTGTGACATTGATAGTGTATGCATGTGTGTATGTGTAAGAAGCAGGAGGAGGACAAGATCAGCTGCACAGATAAGAGCTGCGAGTTTTCCACTAGAATTTAGTCTTTTGGGTTTGAAAAAGCAGCCACACCCAAAACAACCCCAACACCACTGAGTCAAATCAACACTCTCAAATCTCAGCTTCTCCTAAAACCCTTTCGTTTTTCAAGCTTCCTTCTCATTACAAATGACACTGGTTGCAAATTGCCTGGGTTAAGCAGAGATCATGTGAGAATGTTTGTGACCACATATGTAATCCAGTGTTCAAATCTGTGTTATCTGACACACACACTCACACAGATGCGGGGTTGAGTCAGTATCCAGGCAACACCACTGGTCATTGCCTGATGAAATGCAGAGAAGACCTGTTCCTCACAAGCCAGTCACATTCAACTCCTGTTTGGCCTCTGCGCCTGTCAGCATTGATTAAGTACTCATTAGACAACTTGGTTCCATTGATAGATGCTTTCTCCTCCAGTAAGAAGAGATTAGCCAGATGCCATTTGTGAGAGGAGCGAAAGAAGACAAGATAATTCAGTTGTTCTCTAAAGATGAAAGGACGGACTATTTACCATATATGATTAGCATTAGGAGAAAGAACACTTAGTAGACATAGTAATCATATTCCCTGTACAATGGAATACAATCCATTGCGAAAGCACATCATACTACTGTCTCTGGCACAGCTCTACAAGTGTTCTTGTTAACATCCCCTCTTTGTGTGTAAATGTGTGTCTCTGTATGCTCTCTGCGGTTGTGGGGTTGACTTAAGTACTATCTGGCACTGCAGGCAAAATCACAGGACTGTACATGCCTGCGTCTAACATGTGGAATTTAACATTTAGGTGAAAAAAAAAAAGAAACCCATCTTCAAGACATTCATGTGTAAAAGAGGAAATCTCCAAACTCAAAGCTTTCATGTAGGACTGTCTGCATGTTGTGAAGTGTCTTTTCTTAACTGACACTTTCAGTTTTCAGTAACATCTGTCCCACTAAAACATGTACTCCAAGGCACCTTAGGGTGCGAGAATAGTAGTACGCTGTTTATGTGCATGCAGTTAATACAAATCTGTTTGGTTTAGATAAATTAGGTTTGGATAGTGCCACAGGAGGTTTTACGTAAAATCTGTGTGTCTAAATTAGCATGACATCCCATTAATGCATGACAGCATTATTAACAGGTGAACTCAAGACCTTGGCAACCGGCTGTCTTAGTTGTTTAACTAACAGCTGTGTAAACACTGTAAAGTTTCCATACACTAGCAATAAAATATTACACTCAATACTGGTATGTTAGATAAGATGAGTGGCGCTGTTTGCATCTTTACTGATCATGTTTTTTTTAAATTTAATTTAATTTAATTTTTATATATATATTACAAATGGCATGCAATTTTGAGATTAACTACATTGACAGATAATTTTATTTAGGCATTTTCACCTTTACTTAATACAGTCATGAGAGACAGCAATCGTGGGAAAGAGAACAAAGGAGTGACATGTAGCAAAGATCTGGGCCAGCAAGGAGCCAAACCACAGACTCACTGACGGCATTTGCGCCTATGTGGGTCCCTCAGCCACTGGGTCATCCTACAATAACATTTTTAATATTTGACCCCAGATTACCCTATAATCATTTGTTAAAGTCATTCTCAGATGTTGATATAACCCCTAAAAAGTCATTTCTGTGTATCAAAGTTACATATTTAGAAGCCTTACTGCCTTAAAATGACCTTAGTGAACCTCTGCACTGTTTTTTGTTTTAGAATGTCCAGATAACAGACCACATCAGCTCATCTATGTCTCTGTAAAACTGCTATACGTTTTTTGGCAAGTTGTAGTATTGGAGTAATTTTGCCATAAATGTTTCAACTGGAAACAGATTCTGAAGAAGAATACTAATACGGAAAGACCCAGTCTGCAAGTTGGCAGAATTGGTTCTTTAGGTTTGTTACTTTTTGTTAATGTAATTAATAAAATTGTTTTTATTAATTGAATTTCCCTTCTGGGATAAAATAAATAAAGTATTTTTCATTTCATTACATATGAAAGCCTGGAAATCTGATTGTGTGTTTTTGTGACTAACAATAGTAAGCTGCAGCTTTGAGGTGGAATTGCTCAGCCATGGGGTTGACTGCTTATTTTGCTCATGATGTGTCTTCCAGGGTATAAAGAACTCAGTGGGGACATGGTGACAAGGCAAAAACACTCGATTTTTACCAGAGGGTATCCTCAACATAAGTATATAATATAAACAAACGTTCTGGGTAGTGATCTCTTGGAAATAGGATATCTACAGAAACAGACATTTCACAGTTAATTTATCAAGGCTGTCTGATGGGCAAAGTATGTCATGGACACACCTCCCATGACTTAAAAGATATCTTTGGCATATCTCTGGGAAATTTTCTTGCTATAAATCAGCAAATATGTACACCAATACCAACACATTCTTCCTAAGCTAATATCATCTGATTTGTCTGATTAATCCATTCTTTTGTTTCTTTTATGGTAGTGATTTCCACCAAAGAGAAGTCAATTCATTTTCAGTTCCGTTCAGTTAAATTTGTATAGCACTAAATCACAAGGTAAGTCATCTTAGAGAACTTCATTTTGTACGGTCAAGACATACCAATATTGTATTATAGACATAAACCCAATGAATTAAACGATACCCATTTAGGAATCACTTGGTGGCTGTGTGAAGAAAAAACTCAGTTGAATCAACCTCTTTGTTTGCTGTTTATTCAAACTCTTCAAATTCATACCTGGAGGCTTCCTTATATGTACTGTATTATGTACAGCCTGTGAACTAATCATGTGTATCTGTTCTTGCTTCAGGGTGGTCGGTTCCGTGGTCTGACCATGGGATTCCCTCCTCTCCCACAGCGCTCCTCAGCCAGACGTTCCTTTGGACGTTCCAAACGTCACAGCCTGGCCCGCTCTCTGGACGACCTGGAGGTAGGAGCATATGCACGCAATCACACTAACCCAGGTGTACCAGCAAGTAGTTTTGCAGTGTTCAAGCTTGGCCTGACCACTGTGCTATTGTCACATTGGATCCACACGTGCAGCATCCATCTCTAATAATAGCAGCTCATGCACACCATACATCCTCACATGACACGTCAAGCCCTTTTCTCATATCACCATGGCAACATACACACAGTAGTGCACTGAGCCATCTTATAGAAGACACATTTTGAGGTTTGTATTTTAAGGTTATAGGATGTGTATAAAGATTACTGTACACCTTTAAAAGTAAGATATTTACTTGACAACAATTTAATACATGCAGCCATAGACTTATGTGTAGAAGTATACATTTTCTGCTGACTCTGTACAGTAAGATTGCACTGTTGCAGGAATTATTCTTTTGCTCTCATTATAGCTGCAGGAAATGACCTGATATCCAGTCAGTTGAGAGCCATGAGTTTTGTCTAACAATATGCCTGTTTAGTTCTGTTTAACAGCATTTTATGAAGAGAAAGTCGACACTGGTTATTCTACTGTTGTACTCCAATCAGAAAGATACAGCAGACTGTTATTATTTGTAAAAGATCGCATTTATCTTAGTTATGGTGGGGTTTTATTATGAAATATTCAATTTCCAGCATCTTGTTTAAGGTTGTTCTAACTAGTGAAATGGGAATATACCGAGTGTTTTTGTCATCATGGCTCGTCTGTGTATGTTGATGGCCGGTAAAACGAAACGAGAGTCCTGCTGTCTCAATCACAATTCACTTCAAGATAAAGATCAGAGGAAAGCTAAATGTTTCCGCCGTTTAGTAGTGACTGGGGCACCCTGGGAGCAGATAAGCAGATCCCACACTGTTGCTTCAGTAGTGATAGTTTTTTATATACATTTTTGACATTTTTCCTTTGTTGGGCAGCACAGGAGAGCGCAACAGGAAGCATAGGGAGTTACATGGCATTGAGGTTTAAACTTGAGAATCTGCATCTTAAACAGTGTGCTTAAGCAGGTTTTAAGTAAATTTAAAGATGCTGTGTGGAGGTCTAAAGAGAAAAATCATGTATATGAATCGTGATGCTCAAGGTGATCATTTATTTCTAGATTCATTTGGTGCCTCATAGTTAATTGGCTTCCATTCAAAATGTAATTATTTTGTAATCATACTCTTATTTGTAAGGGGGTACATTTTCACTTTGCACTTTGCTGTGCTAATGTCCACGTTAGCTCAAATGTCAGCTTGATGGCGCACAAGGGAACACAATTATAACACAAGGCATGCTCGTTACAGTTATATTCATTTTCGTCTAATCATGACGCAGATATTTACATAAATGATTCATAATCAGCCTGTAAGCACCACTGAATTTGTGCACACTTGAATTGCCCACTATTGTATGAGTTTCACAGGGGTAGATGCCCCATTGCCGGAGCATCCCATGGCAGGGTTTCTCTCCTCTATTTTCCTCTTCTCCCCTCCGCCTCCCCACCGCCTCTATTCTACCTTTTTCTTCCGGTCGTTAGGCCTTTTTCTCTTGCTGCACATGCAGTAATGTCCACAAACAGAGAGGGCTTTGTGTTGTGAGAGGGGGAAGGAGAGAGAGATTGTGTGTGTGTGTGT